TGGCACAGAGACGCCCAATCATTTACAGCTAGAGGGGCTTCTTCAGGTTGGGTAGAAAATGAGATCTGTCTGTAGCTCTTTATATTCAGTGCCCTTAATTACCTGCATAATTACCTCCCAATAACCACAGTCACACAGCAGCAATGTACAATTATGTCAAAGTTACAGTGATTTCACAGTAAATGTTAGTCAGACCTAGGCTAAACTTAATCTGTAGGTTGCTTTAAAAAATAAATAAATCGTTCCTCATTGAATCTTCCATGCACATCGTCTACCCTTCCTTTACCTAAATATATACACTCAAATAGATAAAGAGTTCTTTAATGCTTCCTAAGGCAGTTAAGGGTTTTGGCTTTCAAGATATATTTTACTTGGAGCTCTCTTTGAAAGGGAAATGCTCAGAGAACCCTTATAGATAGATAGATAGTAAGATAGATAGATTGATTGAGCGATCCCTCCAGGATTTTGCGATAGCAGAAATTAAGGCAAAATCAAGCATACTCTTCAATATTTGGAAGAGCTTGCAATTTTTAAAAATTACCACAGATTTTCTGCAGCTTTGGGCCAAGTCATGTGACATCATCACACCACTCATTCAGTCAAAGCCCTCTTCAATTCACATGCGTCAAACATGAGTACAGCTAAAAGGTCTCATTTCATTACAGTGAAGACTGTGCAAAACAATTTTGTGCAATTACAATTTTGTGCAATTACAAGTTTGCCAATTCAAGTAGTTTCCGCAAAAGCACACACACACACACAAAAAACCCTCTGCAAGTTGCATCGCAACTTTTTTTACAAGCTGCAGCAAAATCAAGCATTTTTGGAAACTTTCTGTGAAATCCTGTACAGACTGATAGATAGTTTGATAGATAGCTAGATAGATAAGGCTGCTGGTTATGTATCTGTCTTCATCATGCTTCAAATATTCATATCAGTCTCTATTCAGATTTAAACCCAAAGTGGGTGTGGCCTAATGGAAAACAGTGGGAATAAAATGCAGTGGTAGACATTCCATCACTGATAGCATGGTCTGTAAATTCTGGCTCTGATAGTTCTTCAATCACTCAAGTTGATCTCGTATAGAGATGTGCATGCGTTTTTAATCATACTCACACAGTTATTATTCTTGTTGATACCTGCCTACAATATTTTCAAATGAATTTGAATTGGTCTCAAAATATAAACAAACTAGTACCCTATTTTAAACCAAGAATGAATGGTGTAAATGCATCACACAGCTCCACACATTAGGGTCTTTGCTTGTGGTACAAGCTTCATATCTGGATGCGCACTTACATTAAAGTAAAAACCTCCTGCTCAAGCAAGTCTCCCAACGCATACCTGTAGCTTCAACCAGATACTCTGTGGAAATTTCTGGAATGCGTTCTAGAAAAAAAACAAAAAACAAAAAACAAAAATCAATCACAGCAACAACAACAATGCATCTCCTAGTCATATCTGCATATATATCCAATTAAACTAAATTATTGTTTTTGAATCTATTCGTATCAATCTTAATAGACAGACAGACAGACAGACAGATAGACAAACAGACAGACCGGCCAAATGAAAACTATCAAATGCTACTGCAAAATTTGTAGCATTATTTCTCTCATCATCTATTGCCTCAATAATTTTCTTCTACCAGCACTCATATAGAAGTTATTCTCCCAAGAGTTCTTACAAAACACATCTGATAAAGACGCGGCCTGTGTTCCTGAGAGCTGTGTGTTTGCGAGCGTGGGAGTGTGTGCGTCACTGCCAGGTCACTTGTCCCTTGTGATGCAGATGATGGATGCATTGTTGGCATTCTATAAACCTCGCAATGAACGTCCTCTTGTCAGATGTTTCTTTCACATAATAACTCCTGATGGATTAGAGTAATGAACTCTTCCCACCCTTCATGCCCATCATAGTTGAGTCTTTGGGGTGAGTCAGTGGATGCAAAAAAAACCCCCACAAAACAAACAGATAGCCTTTTGTTGTCTTTCTATAAGTTCTTATTCTGCTGATCTACTGATCTTTCCCATCTCAGAGTAATCACTGAAAATCCTTGTGCAGAACAGGCGGTGTACTGTTTATTAGGGATTTATTATAATGGAGCAAGTCAAGGCATTATGTGAGAACTATGGGTGATGATATGTAATCACAGTTATGTGTCTCTATGGGCTTCTGCTGTGCTTATGCTTACGATGAACATGCCATTATGAGAAAATTGCATTGAATTGAAAACAACAGGATGTTTTTTCGAGCCAGTAGTGATCATTCCCATGGTAAGTCCCATGTATGGATCCTTTTTGATGATTCAGACTCTCAAGGCCACTGATCTCTCACAAAAGAGAGCTGCAGACACTGTAGTATAAATTGTATATGCTGAATGTAAGGGCATGTGTGTGGGTGTATAGTGCACACACCCATGTTTAACGAGAAGCTTTTGCTCAGAGATAACAGCTCTCTGAAGCTGTAATCACTCCCTTTGCCACCACTCCTCCAGATGAGATGAGCCTTTTAAGTGCTAGAGCGAGGTCAAGATGCACATGGGGGTCATGGACTTGACTGACCTGCGGCTCCATGGCCCGAGGATACCCTGTGAACTCCCGAGTAACGTCACATTGATTTGTGCCCAGCCATTATCTCAGCAGGGAAAATGGATGGTGTTAAATCTGACCAATTGACAGACAGTATACTTACATTGCATTTGTTGAATTTCGGCTGTGGGTTGTTAAATATTCTGGTAATGAGTAGATTGAAGTTGCTATGCATACACACTTGAATTATTGTTTCAGTATAAATAAGTTTTCTTTTTTAAATACATATAAAAATAAACCGACATTTATTCCTATTGCCATTCAACACTAACATATTAGGATGCATGGGTATTATGAGTGTGAAAAAGTGTTGGTTGAGCTGCAAATAGAGATGTAACACAGGATCTGACCTGAATTGCTGCTGATATGTTGATTTCCCCCAGGAGCTCCTCTCTGCCCTGCTACACTGTTTTAGATTCCAGAGGGAGGTCGTTAATGCATGGCCCAGCCAGCCGGATCCATATGTATGACCAAATCCTCTCAGCACAGTGAAAATGGTCTCTTTTATGTTTCTCTCAGGAGGAGTAAGAACAAGTGCATTGTAAAATATCATTGAGGACACAGAGTAATACAAACATGTTCTGTTTCGTATGAATGCATAGTGTGTATACACCAGAATATTTTTACATTTGGCTTTGTACTTTTTTTTTTCTTCGTCCCACAGGGTAGTACTGTTGTGTAATATAAATGATTGTGTATTTGTAATATGACTCCAATGTTACATTATTGTAGGTAAATGATGAACATGTGTAAATAAACCCAGAATTTAGGACAGCACATGTAAATTTAGAGTATGATGGTATAGTGGTGGTACTCCAGGGTCCCTGGTTTGATCCTGAGCTCGGGTTAATGTCTTAGAACAAATGGAGTCCCATACAGGGTGTATTCAAGCCTCGCTCGCAGTGCTTCCAATTAGACTCTACCCCAACCCCAACCAAGATAATGTGGTTACTGAAGATGACCGTATGAACGCACAGTATATTGGTATTATTGTGTAGCATGAAAACGATTCGAAAAATCATTATCACTATGATGCACAGTTTGAAGCTATTTTTTTTCCTCTTTCTGACACACTTGATCCAGCACATCCTTGATAATTAGCTGATAAGTAAGAACAGGTGTGCAGAGAAAACTTCAAGCTTCAAACTAATACTAAAGAATTCTACTTTATACCTAGGTGATACTGATTATGGCAACACTTGTACACTCACGCACCATATTAAATGCTATAACATCTTTACAAGAGACTGATCTATGTCTTTTTTCAGATAAAACTGCATTTCAATATTGGTTTAGCAAACTATCTGTGGGTAGGAAAGATTCTAAGAGGCATGTTTTTAAAATACTCATGCAGATAGCCTAAATAATTGAATCTTTGCACTGCAGGTGGAACTTCACGTCATCTGCTTTGAAAATGTTATATTAGAAGTATACCGCATTGTTTTGTATATATTGCAAGGATCTATCTATCTATCTATCTATCTATCTATCTATCTATCTATCTATCTATCTATCTATCTATCTATCTATCTATCTATCTATCTATCTATCTATCTATCTATCTATCTATCTATCTATCTATAGTGGTGCTTGAAAGTTTGCCAAAATGAAAATTTTCTATATTTCTGTATAAATTCGACCTAGGACATAATCAGATTTTCACAACCCAATTAAACAAGTGAGACAAAAATATTATACTCATTTATTTATGTATGGTCATTTATTTATTAAGGAAAATTATCCAATATTTTATATTCATGAGTAGCAGAAGTATGCGAACCTCGGATTAGCAGTGAAGTTAAAGTCAGGTGTATTCAATCAACGGGACGTGAATCAGGTTTGAGAGAGCGCCCTGTTTTATTTAAAGAACAACAATCTATCAAAGTCTGATCTTCATAACACATGTTTGTGGAAGTGACAAACACAGGGGATTTCTGAGAACCTCAGAAAAGGTGTTGATGATGCTCATCAGGGTGGAAAAGGTTACAAAACCATCCCTAAAGACATTGTTCGAAGTGTGTGTTAATGTGTGTGCAATTGTGCCCTGCGATGGGTTGGCACCTGGTCCAGGGTGTCCCCTGCTTTGTGCCCCAAGTCCCATGGGATTGACTCCAGGCTCCCCCACAATAAGCAGTACAGAAAATGGATGGATGGATAAATCATTTATATCTTACAGCTCTAAATGGCTCTATATACAACAGCAAGCTATCCCGATAGTCATTTATAGCTATTAGTGGTAAATGGTCTGGTAAATGGTCTGCACTTATGTAGAGCGCTTTTTTAACCTTAGCGGTTCCAAAACATTACACTGTTTCTCATTCACCCATTCATACACACTCACACACCAATGGTAGCAAGGTGCTAGCTTGCCATTGAGAGCAACTTGGGGTTCAGTGTCACTTCGGCATGTGGAGTCTTGTGGGCCGGAATCGAACCATCAACCCTACGGTTAGTTGACAACCCGCTCTACCACCTGAGCCACAGCCTCCCATCGCATTTGCACACACACCTATTCACACAATTTCTTCAGAGATGGTTTTGTAACCTTTTCCACCCTGATGAGTGCTTTTATGTCTGCTTTTTGTAAGAAATTAAAAGGGATAATAATAATAATAATAATAATAATAATAATAATAATAATAATATTTCTTTGATTTATATAGCGCTTTTATAGGCATTCATAGCGCTTTGCATTGTATGGGGGGAGTGGGGATCTCCTCACCACCACCAGTGTCTAGCATCCATCTGAAGGGATGGTGTCTTCAGACTGGGTAGAGCTCATATTTATTTGAAACATGACTTTAATAAATTAATAGGAATCCTACAATGATAGACCTATAAATCACCAAACAAAACTAGGTAGCTGATGCAAAACAGAGATAGCAGAGATCTCACAGCAAAGCTAGCTAACAAATTAGGGACAAGTATGTCAACCTTTAGATCTCTCCAGCTAGCTTTACAGTGAGACCTCTGCTAACAGTAGCAAGATTGTCATACTTGTCATCCATGTGTATTTCTCCAAGAACAGAGTTAACAGAGTTATTACAATTTTTTTCTTTTAATTTATTTCGTTTTTGGAAGGTTCATGCCTGACATTTGTGCCATTGTAATCGTAAAATCATATTTTATCTTGTACAGTTATGACACTGTATATTTGTGCAGAAACTGGCTCTAATCTGTTAATGTTAAATATATCATTTTCCCTGCTGCTGAGCCTTATCTGCTTGTGCCTCAGAGTTATCACAGATTTTTTGTCAGTGTTCTGGAAATGAAAATTTGATGTGAACCTGCCGTGCTTGGTTCTCCCATCTGCGACATTTGGCACCTGTCTGTTAGTCAGGTAGAGCAGGTGGGGAGGGGGGTATAGAAAGAGATAAAAAGTAGAGAGAAGGAGACACAGAGACTGACTCACATCATGTTCTGTCTGCTGTGTATGGATACAAATGATCATGTGTGCTTATTACGCTAGCTGGTACATATATTAGCATGTTCCCGTGTTCAGTTAGCAGAAAAACAACACCATCGCTCTGAACCCAAGTGGAGGCTCAGGGCCACTTTGGCTGTAAGAGAAGTTGAGTCTGGGCAGCCCATCTCTAAAATCTGGAATCATATCGATCCTTGTTTAACACGATCTTTTAGATCTTCTCCTCAGAAATGCCACCGGTACCATAGTTCTCTCCTATGCTTCCTTAAAAAAAATGTTCTCGATTCACTTGCCGTTCCCTTCTCATGTCTTGCTTGCTGAGAATCTTCATCAGCCACATTTATTTAGAGCAACTGATATTCAAAATTCATGCAGCAGGCAGCAAGTGCTGCTGTGGGCTTGAGATAGCAGCATCCCATAGCCCCCAGTCCCCCTTCATTGTTTCGTGGTAGCACGACTGCTTTACGCTAAATCATTTTTCCGGAACAAATTGCAGTATCTAACCGGCGTCACAATATATATTCGTCACATCAGGGCACATGACGAGAGCAGGCCAGTCAGAGGAGGAGAACTCCTGGAGATCAGGTCAGCAGCTCTCATCTTCAAACCAAGCAGAAAATTTAATTAATGCTTATGCTTTAGGGTTTGGGATGCAGGGGGAAGATACTGGCTTTCATGTAACGAGCAGGCCATCCTATCAGCAGCAGCCTGCTGTCTTTTTGTGCTGCAGAGCATGCTGGGGTTTCTACAAATAAGAGGGAAAACTAGAGATTAATGCAGATGCAAATTAAGAAGATTAATGTCTGACTAAAAACAGTGTTGTCCCCTTTTTTGCTGTCAAAATAAATGAGGTTTTTGATTGTGCTGGGTAGGGTGTGATATTATGTGATATTACATATATTCCTATATGTATTTTAGAATATATTTGTTCATGCTGAAATAAAAAGAAGGCATTTGAAGCTCTCTCACATAGCAGGCGCACACTGCACGCACAGGAGAAGTAAATCAATAAGAGTGCTGTTTGGAAAAAAAAAATCTTCAAAACACAGTCGATGGATTAAATCGATTTCACCTTTGAAAATCTCACTCGGAAACTATCTTGTCGCTCGATTGTTTCGCAGGTTGAAATGGAGTGTTATCGACTGCCTGTGCTGATACAAGAGCTATTGAAGAGGCATGAAGGTTGATCTTAGAAAAAAAAAAAAAAACGGGAAGCAAATAAACCTTCAACTGATTTATGTGTACTTCTCTTAAAACACTCTTTTACCTGCCTTTCTACCCACCTTAATATAATTAACAAACACATTTCCTGATTAAATAAAAAAAAAAAAGAGGTTAAGCAAATGCCTTCCTCCTCCTTCTAAAATTCATTGTAGACATTTTTTTTGGTGATGGAGCATCCCTGTGGATATTACCATCACTTCAAAGAATACAATCCCCACACTCTCCAATTTAGCACATAATGACGGCCTCTCGAGCGAGCAGGGCTGTAGTTGAAACACTGCCTTTCCCTGGTGTATGAATATGACAGCTCAGTATTAATGATGCCTATCACGACCAGGCTATGCCTCTCTAGAAGTCAAGGAGTGCTGGGAGTCATTTCACCCAGTTACCAGCCTCCATCTTCTCTGTTCCTCAGCTCCTGCTGCCACCCCTTTAGCTGGCCTTTTAAATGCAGCGCCTGCTCACTGGGAGCCATCATCTCCAGTTAAAACAAAGGGGATTCATCAGACCTGTCTGTCCCTCCCTTTACCATTCCTCGAGACTAAATTACGCCCCGAGTGCCTGGCTGGAGGTGCTGAAAATAAATGGGCCCAGATATAATGGCTAGAGCCTATGGCTAATAGTCCTGGGAGAGGAGGGAGAGGGAGCAGGAAAGAAATGAAGGCAGAGCGAGAGAATGAAAAAAAATGTCTGTATTGAATATAGTTCTGCTGAAGGGGCATTGAAATGTGTCCTTGTTTCAAATGAATACTTCTTTTGCCCTCTATCTATCTCCTGCTTCTTTTTTTTTTTTTTTTTTGGACACAACTGTCTTTCTTTTCTCCTCCATCCTTCTGGTCTACCTCAGCTTGAACCTTTACACCTCTCGGTGGTACAGATGGTTTCATTTTCTACGAGATAAAACCACGTTAGTTGGAACTGATTAAACAGAGAACAACATCCCCATCTGCCATTTAGGCCCATATAAAATTGCTTGGGCAGATGCTGACATCTTTGGAGATGATTGATTCACCTCTGAATGGAGGGAGGTGGGGAGGTGTGTTCTCATAGGATTCCAGCTGCCCATTACAGACACACACACACACACACACACACACACACACACACACACACACACACACATGGTCACTTCACCAGAGCAATCACTGGCTGCCTTGATTGGACTCGGGCAGGTGAGTGAGAGCCGCTTTAATCATCAGTCCTTGGCCTGATAATTCCTCCTTTGTGGATGTGTGTGTGTGTGTGTGTGTGTACACAGATATGTGTGCAAGAAACAGTCCAGCCTGATAATAGTTCACATTTAATAAACTTATTATCTTTGCTTTCAGTAAATAATTAGATGTATACATATCCTGTTTTTTTTCACTGTAACCTTGCTAATCTCTTTCTCCAAACTCTCGGTGTGCTTTTGCATCTTTGCTTTTGCACCTTTTACACATTTTATTACCTTTATGACATCAATTCAATCTCCTTTTACAGCATCCTCTTCTCTTTCACTGAGCTCACATTCAGTAATTACTTGTAAACACTGGTGCATTTTAAAGATCCAAACTTTAAACGTAGCAGCAGGTCCAATCAAAGTTAACCACACCCAAGAGCTCATCAAACTGGAAATTTGGTCCATGCAAAGCAATCGAGTCGTTCGTTTAAGCTCATAGAGCATGCGATGATGGCTGAATAATGTCATGCCTGGCCAACAGTACAAGATGTATAAAATCTTAACCCAAACCAATGTTGAAAAATGTGAGAGACCCCAGTTTTCTATACATATATATATATATATATATATATATATATATATATATATATATATATATATATATATATATATATATATATATATATATATATATATATATATATGTAGATAAGATATACAAACACACGGAGGCAGTTGTAGTGCAGTGAGGAAACCAGGATTTTTTGTCCTTAACCGTAGTGGTAGTGTTGTTTTTTGGGTGCTGTGCGGTGTGGGGTGAATGAGGAAACCCGGGCGGGCGGGCGGCGTGCGGCGTCCTCCGGGCGTGTGAATTCGGAAGAGCTGGAAGGCGTCCTGTGCGGTTGGCCTCACCACTTTCGTGTCGCCCCTCGTCGGGCGGAGCCCTGCCAGTTGACCTCCTGCGTGGGGCGGGGTGCCTACTCCTCTGGAGCTGGTGGTGAACCCTGCCCGGTCGCCAACCCGGGCGTGGCGGGTGGCTCACCCTGAGCGCCGTGCTGAGCCGGGACAGCACCTGCGGTGTTGTCGCACACCCCTCAGCTCGAGCTCCGCTGAGTGGGCCCAGCTGACACTGCACCATCGCCCCCCCTCCTGAAGAAAACCGCAGCGCACGGTCGGTTGCCGCCAACCGGTGGCGTGACCAGGCAAAGTTGGCCTGCCAGGTAACCCAACTCCAATGCCCTGACAAGGCCGCTTACCCCGCGGCAGCGGATTACCGGCCCCCTTAAACCAAGAAAACGCGCAAGATACGGCGAACCCCCCCCAACAAGGGGCAGCCCAGACACCGATATACCGCCAACAGAAGGCCCCTTAGGGCGGACCGCCCCTCGTGGCAGCCAACCCAAAGGTAGTACAGTCTGCTAGACAACGAGCCACAACCCGGTAGGGACGCCCGAGACACCGTCACCGGAAGCACACAGGCAGCCTGGCACAACGACCCGGCGATGACCCACCCAGCCGCTCCCAGCGCGGGCGGCACCCACGGAGCACCGGGTCCCGGAAACCGCCCCACACCCCCCCCAGCATGCACCACCTCCAACTCGGCTGAGCACAAACACCTGACCTACTCCGGGGCTTCGGACTCCCTTGCACCTCAGCCAACCCTTCCACGACCGCCCAACACC